AAAGTGTTTTTAAAGATATCAGCTACTCCTGAGGATATGGAGTAACTGGAATATTGGTACTGAAATTGGTACAAATACTTTGGAAACAAGTTGGCATTACCTAGTAAAGTTGAAAATGCTGTAACAGGCATACCCACACGTAGGGAAACTTGATTTAGTATGTGTGCTGGAGGTCATGTTACAAGGATGTTCACAGAAGCAGGGTTTGTCATTGTTAAGGATTAGAAACAGTGTCGTCCACATTAGAATGGACAAATACGTTGTGGTATATCCATACTTAGAATTCTGTACAACAGTGGAAATGTATGAATTACAGACCCTTATTATATAACAGCCTAGATAATTTCCTGACATATATGCTGTGCTTAGTCGCTCAGTTGTGTCCAATTCTTTGCGACCCTATGGACTGTAGCCCACCAGGCTACAGGCTCTGTCCATGGGATTCTCCAGGAAGAATACTAGAGTGAGTTGCCATGCCCTCCTCCAGGGGATCTTCCCAATCCAGGGACTGAACCTAGGTCTCCCACATTGCAGGTGGATTCTTTACCATCTGAGCCACAAACAGCCAAATATTCCAAAATACTTACAGTATCAATTTATATAAAATTCGCTTATTTAAAAAATTAAGTAATAGCTATCTGAGGATATAGGTAGGTGGTAATGCCAAAGAACAGCAAAGGGATGATGGAAACTGACCTTGGGAGGGAATGGGGTGTGACAGGGGAGTCCATGGAGACATCACAGAAAACAGGAATGTTCCTGGGTACATTTGGATGATGGTACTACTTGGGCATCTGTTGGTTTTAATTTTATAATCTACGTATATTTTATAAATACTGCTTCCTATCTGCTCAGTATTTAATAGCAGTGTTTCCAGAATCATTTAATAGGCACACAGAATTGTCTTCTTTCCAATCTTTTTGCTGAAGAGTTCCCCTGGAACAGTCTTCTCTGGCTAGTGCTTCTGGGTTGTGCAATGATATGGTGTAGTGGGAACTACTGTGAAGTGTTTCTTTTAGAGTGAAGCTATGACTTACACATTGGTTCCTGATTATCCACAGGGAGGAAAATGGTAGTTCATTTTATTTTCTGTATAACACTACAGTGTCTCCCTTGATTTTGGAAATGGGAGTTTTACACTGGATTTTCTACCCTTAGCATCATAGGCTTGAAGATCTTGCCTTCTGTTTCTTGAAAGAGTATAAAGAAAAGTGGATTATTTATGGTTGTATAAGCTTTTCCTTGAACAGTACGATCTTCCAAGGGTTCATGTTATTTATTTGTTTGTTTTTAATATCTAGTTTTTTAATCCATCTGAAATTTACTTTGGCGAGTGGTGTGAAATAGGGACCTAAATTTATTGCTTTCAAATGGCTATCAATTGTTCCATACAGCATTCATCTCACATGCTAGCAAAGTAATGCTCAAAATTCTCCAAGCCAGACTTCAACAGTACATGAACCATGAACTTCCGGATGTTCAAGTTGGATTTAGAAACGGCAGAGGAACCAGAGATCAAATTGCCAACATCCCCTGGATCATCAAAAAAGCAAGAGAGTTCCAGAAAAACATCTATTTATGCTTTATTGACTATGCCAAAGCCTTTGACTGTGTGGATCACAACGAACTGTGGAAAATTCTTAAAGAGATGGGAGTATCAGACCACCTGACCTGCCTCTTGAGAAATCTGGATGCAGGTCAGGAAGCAATAGTTAGAACTGGATGTGGAACAACAGACTGGTTCCAAATAGGGGAAGGAGTACATCAAGGGTGTATATTGTCACCCTGCTTATTTAACTTATAGGCAGAATACATCATGTGAAATGCCAAGCTGGATTAAGCACAAGCTGGGATCAAGATTGCTGGAAGAAATAGCAATAACCTCAGATATGCAGATGACACCACCCTTATGGCAGAAGGCAAAGAAGAACTAAAGAGCCTCTTGATGAGAATGAAAGAGGAGAGTGAAAATGTAGGCGTAAAACTCAACCTAAGATCATGGCATCCAGTCCCATCACTTCATGGCAAATTGGTGGGGAAGCATTGGAAACAGTGAGAGACTGTATTTTTGGGCTCCAAAATCACTGCAGATGGTGACTACAGCCATGAAATTAAATGATGCTTGCTCCTTGGAAGAAAAGCTATGACCCAATCTAGACAGCATATTAAAAAGCAGAGACATTACTTTGCCAACAAAGGTCCGTCTAGTCAAAGCTATAGTTTTTCCAGTATTCATGTATGGATGTGAGAGTTGGACTATAAAGAAAGCTGAGCGCTGAAGAATTCATGCTTTTGAACTGTGGTGGTGAAGAAGACTCTTGAGAGTCCCTTCAACTGCAAGGAGATCCTGCCAGTCCATCCTAAAGGAAATCAGTCCTGAATATTCATTGGAAGGACTAATGCTGAAGCTGAAACTCCAATACTTTGGCCACCTGATGTAAAGAACTGACTCATTGGAAAAGACCCTGTTGCTGGGAAAGATTGAAGGTGGGAGGAGAAGGGGACAATAGAGAATGAGATGGTTGGATGGCATCACTGATTTGATGGACATGAGTTTGAGTAAGCTCTGGGAGTTGCTGATGGACATGGAGGCCTGGCATGCTGCGGTTCATGGGTTCACAAAGAGTCTGGGACAGGACTGTGCAACTGAACTGAACTGAACTTATTGAATGATGAATCACTGATTGGAGATTCGTTTATCATGTACTACTGAGACAACTACTAATCAAAAGTTGGAGTACATAGTAGGACCAGACACTGTTCTAAATACTTTCCAAATATTCTCTCTTGATCTTCAAACCCACCCATTTTACATTAAGGCACAGAGAGGTTAGGTGATTGCTCATTGTCACATAGCTACTAATAAGTGAGCTCAGATTTTAACCCACAAGTCTAACTCTAGAATCCATGTTCTTAACCTTATATAAGCATGAGTTGTTGGAATTAACATATTTGGTACTTGGCAGGCAGCCTGAGTTTATGTTTTTCACCTCTTGGATCATTTTTGAAATTTTTTTCTTTTTAGTTGCTCAGTCTCTTTGTGACCCCTTGGACTATAGCCCACCAGGCTCCTCTGTCTGTGGGGCTTCTCCAGGCAAGAATACTGGAATGGGTTACCATGCCCCCCTCCAGGGGATTTTCCCAACCCAGGGATAGAACCCAGGTCTCTTGCATTGCAGGCCGATTCTTTACTGTCTGAGCCACCAGGGGAATTTAGCGCTGGAGAAATGGAGAACAAATTGTGGTTTTTAAAATTGAAGATAAATAAATAAAATTGAAGATAGTCATGGAAATCTAGGGAAAATCCAAAGTAAAAACAATATTTCTCAGGTTTATTTTAACATATTTTCTGATAACAAAGAAGCCTAAGATATTTAAATTTTTTTCAGGTTGTTATCCAGTTCTAAAATTTGAGGATAGGGCTTCCCTGGTGGTCCAGTGGTTAAGACTCCCCATTTCCATTGCAGGGGCTTTGAGTTTGATCCCTGGTTGGGGAACTGAATTCCTGCATGCTGCGTTCTGCAGCCCCAAAAAATTAAAATTCAAGGATATGACCATTTATACTAGTGAAGTTTTCTACTTGATTGAATAAATGTTGGTGCTCCTAGGAATTTTATTTAATATTTATGTAATTATCAGTTACTTTAGTGTTTTCTGAATTTCTTATTCTATTTCTTCACTTGGTATAAATGTAAAATGATAGAATGATTTGGAGATTTATAGCCAGACTAATCTGGATTGAAATTCCAGCTCTGTACTTAACTGTATTTCTTGGACTAGTAACTAAAACTCTCTGAGCCTCTCTTTTTTTCATCTTTAAATTAAGTAATAATACTCAGGAGTGGTATGATATTTAAGATTGTATTTGTAAATTTTCTGACAAGTTATATATATACTATAAATATACTATACATTTTAATTTCTTTAAAATTGTATATGAAAGCCCTTGGCTTAAATTAATAATTTGCTTTTCCTATTTGCATCTTCTATAGAGGAGTATAATAATTTTTATTTGGAAAATTTAGATGAACTATGGAATTAATTCTTAGCTGATTTTTGTGAGTAGATTTCTATCTCAAATGATTGTAATTCAAGTGTCTTCATTATAACATTTCTGTTCTTCCTTCCTTTTGTTTGACCATTCTGTCCAGTTTTTTCTGGACAAAAGTTTTAAGGCCTTCTCAACCTGTTAAATGCCATAACCGTAGTTTAAATGTTTTGTCCTTTTATGATTTCTGAGTGTACTTTTAAAGTCAGACTCTTAGATCCCATTATATATACTATAGCAACAAGATAAAAGGGGTGAACCACAGCCTCAGGGCTCTAAGGCGCCCAGGATTCTCTTGTTCTCAGAAATGCCTGATTTTTTAGATATCAGAACACCTAGAACAGGTGTCAGGTTCATCTTCCACTTTTAGATGTCAAAATACTAGTCTCCAGATAACTTTACAGTTTTATTCAAATACTTAAACCATTTTATATGGTAGATTATGCATTATTCAAAATTCTGATATTTTTTATGATATTTAAGAATTCATTTTACTGAAAGAAATGAAAATTTATTTAATATTAACTTTTTCTTGAGTAATTTAGAAATTGTATTAAATTGTGTGGTTTTTCTGTATTATTATTTATAATTATCAATATATTGTGTCATATGTTTTTAAAAGTGCTGATGGGATCTGACTGAGTCAACACCCAGATGAAAGATTACAGTAATGAATGATTCTTTTTTTTTTAAATGAACATACCTTGTGTCAAGTAAGCAGCGTATACCATAAATATGTGTTTTGCAGTCGAATTGAAAAGCCTGTTCGGTTTTGTGGGTGAATGTGCTATGGTATGGTGTAACTTGTAACCAGTTACATGGAAACTCTTTCCTAGAAAACGATAAAGTGAGGATGCCTGGTGACTTGGTGTTTGGCCCACGGGAAGCGAGGCCTGGGGCAGCCCCGCGGCGTGCCTCCGGAGTGAACGTGTCGTCTCTCCTCTCTCCCCAGGTGCCGCCGTGGCCGGCATTTACCGCGTGGCCGGGAAGAACATGGCCCCCTTGGAAGCCCTGGTGTGGGGCGTCGGACAGACAGTCCTGACGCTCATCATCTCCTTCTCAAGGATCCTCGCCACACTCTGAGGTTTCTGTGGGAATGTCTTCACTTCACATAAGGAAACAGACGTACAGATTCTCTGAAAACAGCATCGTTAGCGAGTGGGCAGGAGATCGTACCAGGACGAGGAAGGAGCAGGTCAAAACACAGGCCTCGGGCCGTGTGGGAAGGTCGCCCTCTGGTGTTCAATGATTGCACTACCGCACCGCACCTTACGTGCCTCCGTCCCGGGCAAGGCGCATTGCTACGCGAAGCTACAAGAAAAAGCACCTTGTTTAGCTGCCAATCAGGTTAACACTGGTGTTGAATCATCATTCTTAACAGTGTTGTGTTAAGTTACAGGGACGTTTTGAAGAATTGATACATGTGCCAAACTCTTTTCTTTTTTCTTTTTTTTTTTAACATTGATCATGTGAAATTTGCAAGTGTAGCTGTAGATGAGTGCTGTGAACATATTTGACATGAATTCAGGTGATGTAGTGAGAAATTTTGTTTTGTAATGCTAAATCCCGTATGAGTGCTGAATATCAAATCATTTATTATGAGACAAATTATCTGATTTTTAATGTTAAACGTTTCTGGGATTTAGGGCTTTCATATAAATTAGCTATTTATTGTTATTTACTTTATGTGGAAAATAATACTGAATGGGAAACTGCTAGACTCTTCTAAGGATTCAAAGTAGATCTATAGGGTGCATCCTTTTCACTCACTCAAATAACACTCTTTAATAGTTCTCCTCATACATAAACATTCTGTTGCTATGAATTTAAAAACTTTTTGGGTCACACCTGTTGACTGTAGTTTGTGTGTCATGAAAATTTAATTTGAAAATTTTCTTATAAATTTTGTAGGAAAAGAAGTCTGAAATGCACATCCTATTCTTGACCCTTCTGAAGAAAGTTTCTGCCATGTGTCTCATGGAGAAAACATCTTTACAACTAGTATCTCAGTGGGATTATATTACTTGTTGCATATATCTTGATTTTTGGCAAAACGTAAGCAGTCTTTCATCCTGCAGTATCAAATATATATAAAGAGTGGCCTAAACTAGGCTGTGAAAACAAGAAGCCTCACTTGTAGTTAAGAAACAAGTCATATAGGAAGAATAATAAATGATCTTATTTTGTCTGTGTGGTAGCATCATAATTTCTCTAAGTAAAAATTGGGGAATATAGTAAATTTAAAATTTGGCAGTTATTCTCAGCATATCAGTACAGTGTTGAACATATATTAAGTGATTCATTTCAGTTTTTCAACTCTTGTTTTATTCTGTTATTTAAATTTACTAGCATCTACAATGACATTTATTAGAATGAAAAAAATCATTAGTATAAAACATTTTAAGAGATTTTGGCAATATGTAATTGTATTTAAGAGTATAAGAAGTAAGGGAAGCATAGAAACTGGTTGAATTTGTCTCCTATTGAGACTTTTTTTGAATATTAGATACAATTATACATTGTTGTTTAGTTGCTAATCACGTCTGACTCTTTGCGACCCCATAGACTGTAGCCCCTCTCAGGCTCCTCTGTCCATGGGATTCTCCAGGCAAGAATACTGGAGTGGGTAGCCACTTCCTTCTCCAGGGGATCTTCCTGACCCAGGGATTGAACCCACATCTCCTGCATTGGCAGGCAGATTCTTTACCACTGAGCCACCAGAGAAGCCCACAATTATATATATGTTAATTCAAAAGAAGAGCCAATTGCAGAAAATATGAAGTTATGGACAATCCAAAAGATAATCTCCATACTCTAGCCTCACTCTTTTATAATCTAACTTGGTAACAAGTAAGTTTCTACTAGGTCCCATTCAAATTTAAGACCTTTGTTACCCACGACACCTTTTCTCTGCCAACAACTCGATGATGTGTTGGGGGTATTTTTGCAGTATGGAAGCCAGTTTGGGGCGGGGTAGTTTTAATAACACTGTGGTTTGGAAATCTGTTTTAAAGAAGCCAAGAAGCAACTATGCATTCTTAAAAATCTTTAAAGTAAATCTTAAAATGGATTCTTTTTATTATGTTCAGCCTGAAATTAGTTTCACATGTTCTTTATATTCCTGATGTTTTCTTAAATTTAGGTCTAAATCTCCCAAGTCAACTTGACTTTTCCTTTTCTGTTGGATTTGAATCACTTTCTTCCTTTACTTTGGTTATTCTGTTAGTAACTTAAACTGTTCATATTCTTGGGGAGAAATTATCAATAATGTGTTGACATTGAGATCTACAGAAATGAATATTTATTTTAACACATGATTAGTTTATGTTTTCAGAAAGTTACCATGGTAAGGTAACTGGGGCACATGGTTCAGAATCTGAGATTAGCCAGAAAATAACTCGGACATGTTAAGTATATGGCTGCATGGACCAAAGAGATTTAAACTCCTGTTTTTGCTCTCGGATGGAAGTATGAGAAGGTGGATCTGAGTGTCCTGCAATTATCTCATTATCAAGTTGCTTTATATTATGAGCCATGTGTGCGTGTGTGCCTACACCTGTGCTTTTAACTTTGGGGGGATTTCTGGTTTCTTCCATTGTTTTTAGTTACTTTCATTGGAATTTTGTGCACCTGTTAACTCTTCTAATGTTGTGAAATGCAGCTGATAGTGTGAATGGATGAAATGTTTTAATAGCTGTTTCTATGATGAGATTTTTTTTAAAAAGGTCAATGGTTTTCTTATAGAGGCAAAGAAAACATTTAATGATATATATCTACACACATGTATGTCATTTTACACACACATATATGTAAAGCTGCTGTATATGAATAGAGTCTAATTGGAAAGCTTTTGTTCAGTGAACACTTTGATGTAATGGAGAATTTGATGTATTTGCTCAGTTGAATGATCTTTTAAACAGATTTGAGGAAGTTTGAGATTTTTGAATTGGGGGAAATTTTTCTTGGTTTCTTAGTGCTAGAGATCCTTGTTTGTGATATAACAAAAGCCCTTATTGAAAAATTTGAGTTATTCTTAAAATTTGTACGTGATTTAGCAGTAATATTTTTTTGTGTTTGGTAAATGCAAGAGGGAAGGGCGGGGGTGAGAGCCTCGGCAGTTTATACATCTTTATCTTAAGGAATGCTAATAAAATACGGCTGATAGTAAGTCAGTTCCTCGAGAAAGAGACTCCTGTCTGCCCAAGCTAATCATTAATTAGTTAACACACTGGTGAGAAATGTCCATAGATCAGAGTTAGGGTGCCTCATCTGAGCTACAAGGAATGCTTAAAACCTTGAAATGAGGAAGGTGCCAGCAGTCCCCCCTGGACAGTTCCACTGGTTGTCTAGAATAACGTGAGTCCTAGACTTTGGCCATATTCAGTGTTCACACTGGTTAATTATTCTTACTTTAGATCTTTGTGTTTACCGAACAGGTTTACAGTTTGTAACCCAGTGTGCTTTCTTGGTATTTGCAGCATGTGTTTACACCATCCTCCCAAAATGTGAAGATTTTGTTTGTACTTTAAGTGAGAAATAAAGAAATGAGCTACCCTGTATATCCTATTTGTGGTATGAGGAACAAGAACAAGTTTAAAAAAATGTTCTTGGAAAACGTCTCTAGAGAACCTGTAATAAAGATGGGGAGAATGGAGTTGCCACGTCAGGGTGCCCAGGCTGGCACTTACATACCAAGAACTCAAGTTTGTAAGCATTTTTGGTGGATCTAACATATACAAAGTGCTGAGCCTGGTATTTTCTGTAGTAAGCACAAGGATGCCCCACAATGGGATCCCCGCCCTTGAGTCCACCAAGAGCTGATTTAAATCCTAAACGGTTGGGAGAACATCCTGTTTCTAGTCGAGAGGAGAGTTTAAGTCCTTTTCCCCCAGCCCGCCCCCTCCCCCAGTTCTGACTTTTCTCATTCACCAAATGGAATTTGGGAAACCGCGATCCCACTGCCGGGGCATAGCAAGGAGAACACTGGGACCCACACCAGTAACACAGATTTGAATCCAGGACCTCTCACTTGTTGACCTTTTGTTTATGGTGGCAATGTATAGTTTGCCCTCCATATCTGTGGTTCCACATTCAGGGATTCAGCCAACCTTGGGTGGAAATATTTGGAAAGAAAATCAAGAAAGCCCCAAAAAGCAAAATGCTCCCCACAGGCAACAATTCACAGAACATTTACATAGCGTTCACACCATTTACACAGCATTTATGTTGTGTAAGGTGGTATAAGTGATCAAGAGATGACTGAAAGTATATGGGAAGGTATATGTGGGTTAAATGCAAGTACTGCACCATTTTCCATAAGGACCTTGAGCATCCTCAAAGGTTGGTACCCATGGGGGTCCTGGAATCAGTCTCCTGTGGATACTAAGAAAATACTCAGTATTTAATAGGAAATGATCAGTAGGTAGTCATTTTAATTTTTAAATTAAACTTTGCAATACCAAGTAAATACATTGTTTTGTAAGATTCATCTATTGTCTTTCATTTCCACATTTACCTTACATGTATTTTAAGAAGGAAACAAACAAACAAAATTCTCTTATGTTGCTTTCTTTACCTACTTTCAACCTCTTTTTTTAAAAAAAAAAAAAATCAGATATTTTTCCAAGGGCACTTCTGGGGGCTGGTGGTGATAGAAATGGCCAGGGCAAGCAGGAATCAGTATCAGGCTGTGGGTATTACTAGTTAAAACAGGAAAAGTGGTAAGTGGCCAGGACTTACCCCTTATTTTCTCCAGCTTGCGTCTTTCGGATTTACTCAGCCAATATTCACTGAATCTCCACTGCATGCTGCTTACTCTGCTCGTTTTAGGGGTGGGGAGGTTCCCCCCGACCCCCGCATTCACCTCTCTTCTGCCACCCCAGCCTATAGAACAGAACTGGGCAGTCGTGTCTACCACGTCCCTCCTCCCCTGGAGCAAAGGTGCTTAAGCCCTGCTTGTTTGTTTGTTTTTAACTTAAAAGGTAATACTTTTAAATTTATGTGCATTTTATAATTCAAGAAATAATAAGATGTTGAGGACTTTCTGAAACATTCTCAAGCCACTTGACTCTTGTGACAAACGTTTCTCTCAAAAAGTCTTAGAATTCTTCAAAGAGTCGCTATTTGTTTTTAAGATGTGAAGAATGTGGAAAGTTACTGAAAAAATTCTCTAGATTGCAGAGAAGTTTGGCAACACTTGGGTAACTGGGTAAATGGTTTCAAGGGTGAGAATCTCAGTGGTTGCAATTGACTAGCAATTTCCCTTTTCCTGTCCTTTTTATAACACTGGGGAGGAAGACTCTACAGCATAAAAAGGACATTATTTGATTAAAAAATTATAAAAAATTTCAAACATGTAGTAGTATTTATAGCAGGGGGAAGTTTAAAGATGGGAAGAAAGGTTGGAGGGGTAATGCACAAAAACACAGACACAATTGACAAAACACGCTGCATTATGTGAACACAGTTTCCCCTTCTGTTAGGACTACAGATGACACTGTGTGAGTATGTTTACTGCTTGTTTGCAAAATGTGGTATTTCTTTATATGTGAGACGAAACTTGCCACAAAGCATTCGAAATCGTTTTATAATTTTGTGCGTGTGGTGGTCGGTTTGCCCCACTCACTCAAAGATCTCTGTTCAGTGTAGGCAACACAGTGTTTTTGAGGAGGTCGCTGAAGCTTGTCCTCTAAAAATTTATCTATGAATTTGCTTAGGGAAAGTAATGCTTAATATATACAGTATTTTCCGTAAATGTGGAGGTAAACTGGTTCATACGTCATTAGATTAGTAGAAACACCCGAATTTCTCGGTGCACTGAGGTGTAACCACCTCCTCCCCTGAGCACAGGGGCCTTGCTTTCACGTTCTTTACGTTCATTGCACGTATGTTGAGCTTTCATAATAACCCTGTCTTGATTTTTGAGAACTAATTTAGCAGTTAAAAAAAAAAAAATACTCCTCCTTCTTCCGTACAGATGTCATATGGGATAGTTTAAACATATGTACAGTTTGTTGATAGGATCAGAAGTGCTGGTTTAGAAGAGAATGTTCTCAACACCTTATGGTTATGCAGCTGTAATCTTGCTGAAAATTAAATACTATAAGCAAGTCAAGAGAGCATGGACCTCCTACGAGTTTTCTTTTTTTCAGGACTGTGTCCTGTAACAATATATATTTCCGCTCAGTGGGGACGTGACTGTCCTCTTTTGGGGACTGTGTTTAAGTATGTAACTGAAGCTGGAAAGCAGTGCGACATACATACATAGGAAGAGGAACTATAATGTATAATCACCATAACTATAACACTCTTTCTTCTGAACGTATTACATCTTGGTAATTTCTAAAAATCATCACTTTTTTATAGCCCTGTATAAATGAATGGTAACTTGATAGTACTGTTGGTGGTGAGAAGTTTCCTTTGTCTTCAACGTATTTATACATCATCACTATCTTTGGGTAGGAACATTTTAAAGTTTTCTCCATAGAAGGTAAAAGAGAGGCATTTGTTTGAATTATAATCAAAAATTATTTACTTTCAATACTGGATGAGTTGATAGTCTGATTGTTGACACTTAGTATTCATGATAT